AGTGCTCTGATGTTCAAGTGCCTGAGGGCTTGTTCACATGGGAAAATTCAGTGGCATTATTCATACCTCTCCACTGCAGAATATGAGTACCCACATGGGAACTCAACAAGGGTATAATTATTTTGCTCTAGAAAAGTCCTAAGTACCTTCATACAATTTCTCTGCAGAAAGTTAGCTATGGCACAGGTAATGCAACGCACCAGAGAAAATGCATTTGGGGACATCAGAAAGGACTGCTTTCTACAAAAGCAACTCTTCACTCCTGTGGAAATACATTTCCCTAATTGAGGTTGTTTTTTCACACAGAGCACTCTGTCCCTACTTAAAAAAAAAAAACCAACTCATTCTACAGAGAAATTAAAACAAATGTCATGCACATACTTATACGCACCCACCCACCCATTATTCTAATTATTGGTATTATTTTTACTGCATTTACACTTTTCTTCTTCAGAGCACCATCCGTATGTAAATGCATCCTCACTCTGACCACAGCACTCTGGCAGATGCTATCTGAGCAGTGGCTACAGCTCTTGGTAGGCGAATGATGTGCTGAATGCTGATGGAGAGGGCTCAGGAAAATAAGCAAGAACAGAATTCAGGTAATGTAAAACAATTTCACACTTGAAAGGATATTAACAGAACGTGCTGCACCTGCAGCCATGAATTTCATTTGCATAGGAGAAAAACAATCTCTGTGCTGTAAATGTAATACAAAGGCTGGGAGGGAGGAAAGAGAGAGAGAGAGAGGAAGCAAACACGGGCTGCCTCACATACAGCATCCCTTAGCAGCATCTGGGACATGGCCTTTGCAGTTCCACCTTTCATGCCTACTCTGCCCTTTGCAGTTCTTGCTGAGTGACCCGAAGCAGGTGGTATAACTCAGAGAGAGATTTCAGAGTCCTCTGGTGCCCGGCAGCGTCCACGTGCCCCGGCTCGGCGCACTCCTGCACAGCCTTCTGCAGCTGCGTCTGCAGGGGGAAGGAAGCCAACGGTCCTCTGAGATTTGGGGAAAACCAGCGACGGAATATTTTGTCACAAATTACCTGAGGAAAGGGAAAAGAGCAGATTGTTGTCTTTCAGGAGCTACAACTAATGCCCTGCTGCTTCTCTGGGGCTCTAGCAAAATGTCATCTGAATCCAAAATGCCTCCAGCCGTTCCTCCAGAGGAAGGTATGGGACAGGAGCATCCACAAAGGCTGTGCCCTAGCTGAGGAACCCCGCTTCTTCTCAGACTGTTCTTTCACTTCTGCATAACAAGTGGTGAGGGTGAGGGTGTGGAAGAAGCAGCCAAAAGGCCACCGAGCTTTGCTCCCCCAGCCGCTCTGCCGCACTAGTGCCTCCTGCCAGCACAAGCTGGGTGAGCTATAAGACACCCCATCCCAGGGCGGAGGCTCCTCTCTCCGCTACATCCACATACTACATCTGTAGAGTGGAGAATCGCAGCCATAACCCCCCGTTGCTTACACGTGGACAGCCACAACTTTACCATGAGCAGAGACAGTCATGATAATCCCCTGCTCCTACTTCCTCCACTCTCCTGTCTGAGGCATTGGGCTAGCAGCTACTTGAAAACATGGCAAATAAACACTACTGGGTATAACAGTCCATTAGCATGCTCTAAGATGGGATTTCTGAATGGAACTGTCACTTACGTAGCCGTGTTTAAAAACCTGACTGTCTTCATCCTACAGTCTCCTCATACATACCCTGCTTTTTATAGTCGATGGGATTTTAAAAGAAATGGATGCATAAAGCAGCTGTGTCTACTCACTTGCAAGTTGTTATTGGCTCTCTGTGCTCCACATTTTCTGATTTTCAGATTGCATTTTGAAAAGCAATCAAAGAAGTTACAGTCTTCGTCTCCCGTGCAGTTCTGTTCGAGGATGTCCCTCATTTTGGGTTCAAAAAAGGCCATATCCACATCAATGGCCACCACCTGTGGAACAGAACAACCCATCAGATCTGGCACGGCACAGCCTGCGGGACAGGGCTGAGCAAGCTTTCCTTGCTGCTTGCTTTTGGAAATGCTGTGCTGAGGGCACCTGCCAGTGGGGAACTGGGATCGCAACGAAAGGGCTTTATTTCGCTTAACTGAACTGCACTAGTCTTATGAATACCACTTTTTAAACAAAACCAGACAATGCTTACACCACCAGGAAAGGGAAAATCATTTGTGGGCAATATGCATCCCTGGGCTCAACTGGACTGATGTGCCTTAAACCGGGACTATCCAACGTGAAGACTGATCTACTTGTTGCTAGCTTATGCAGACAGCACCTCCACTTTTTAATTAGATGATGGTGCAAAATTATCCACAGACCAGACAGTAGCATTTAAAATTCACCATTCAGACCTGACTTTACCATTGTGGAGAGGAGTAGCGGGATGTGCAGAAGTACCTGCACCTGCTACAGCTCCTGCAAACCTGCCATTGCATTCAGTGGCTTTGCATCTGTAGAAAGAGATCCCTGAGCTTGTTGAAAGTCAGGACTGGCTTTGCCCAGTCCTGTTTGCTAAGGTTTGACTCATTTATTGTGCGTGGTTCTTGTTCTGCTTGTGCAGAAATATGGTCCATAACAGAGTCCAGCCAGCAGCTGGTCTCAGCAGAAAAAGCAAGGACTGAAGGAATCAATCAATTTTCTCACCCTGACACAAGGCTGGCGAAATAGTGAACACGCAGCACAAAGAGGTCCGCAGAGCTGCTGCCCGCGCTAGGTTTGGGACCATTCTGGGACTGGAGGGCTGCAGTCTCTGTTTCTGCAGTGTCACTCCACCCATGAACACCTCACTTTAAAAAATGGCAGCAATAAACAGGGAAAGACAGAATGCCAGTGATGGGATGGCAACTGCTCAATGTGAGACAAACTGTGGGTGACCACAGGGAAGGCAGTGGGCCTTCAGCGCCATGGTTGCAGCAATCAGCGTAGGTTCTGAGCTGTGCTTAACACGTGACGGTCAGGGTCAGAGATGTTCCCTTGCAGTGGCTGACACACACTTTCGTGGAGGGAAATGTCTGAGACCCGGGCAAAGCAGAGTTACCTGGGCTCAAACAAGTGTCTTATTTTTAAGATTTGACCTCCCAAATACAAAGGGAAGCTGAACTGTGTGGCTGGAGCAGCAGCTGGATCAACCCCAGGAACTAAAGATGTCTGGTCTGGTAGAAGGCCAAATAAACCTTCCACAGGCAAAAGAAAGAACATGGTCTAATCTTCATTTCATTCTACTCCTTTTTCCTCAGGGAAAAATCTTAAAGAGATGAGGCACAGCTTAAAAACGCAAGTATTTTTAAGCTTCTTGGAGAGCTTGATAATGATGATGTAGCCTAAGGAATTTCACACGTTTGGACAGGCAATTTTTTTTCTTTTCTTCTTTATTTCCTTAAGCTTTCTGCAGTTTTGCTGTTTATTTCTTGTGGAGAAGAGACAGTAGGGTTCCCCCTGTCCTAGGGTCGCTGCATCAGCTCCCTGGCGGGGTCTCTGCCAGCACTGAGCACCTTTGACAGTCTGATCCATAGCTCCGCTAGCAAAAACAGCCCTGGTTCCCAAACGTGCGGCTGCCAAAGGGTTCAGTGGTTTCACTGATGTTCATCCATTACAAAAATGTGTGGGCATCCAGCCAGACCCTGTGAAGATAGATCTGGGTGACACTCGACCTATAAACAGCTACATTTTGGTGGGGGTTGTTATGATTGTAATTGATGATGAAGGTACCTAAGGAAATGCAGCGAGGACCCAACTTGGCTCCCGACCTGATTTAAAATCACGTTTAAGGTGCTGTGATCTTTTTAGTTCTCTCTGAGGTGCTAGTAAAAGAAGAAGCTGTCCTGGAGCACTATATATTCACACAGATCTCCTTCCAACTCTGCCCCTTGTGTAGCTCCATGGCAGCTCAAAATTCCGCTGGATGATCTACCAGGCAGTGATCTCTCCCCTCCGTGCTGCAGGAACAGCATGCGAAGGCTGGAATGAGGACTAGAGGCTTATCCTCACCATTTGAAAATAATCCTCAACGTAAAACTATTTCAGTCCAGGCACATTTCTTTGGGCATTAGCAGTCTCGTTATTAGGATGAGGAATAGTGGTACTATTATGGGTGTTTGTTATTATCCTATGCAGAGCATAAGAAACAAGTAAGTGAAAGAACTGCTTAAAACAAACATGAGGGACAAAAAAGATGCTGCCTTGCTGCGTCCCTGTTCTAGAACTGGTTAATAAAACCATGTAGAGTTTCTGCTTCTCACCCTGCTTCCTTCTTCACCGATCAGAAGCTCTCTCTGTTCCTCCCCCCTGCAGCTTTCTGACTCTGTGTGTCTCCCAGCCCAGTGGGGCGATAACAGATGACACCAACAGGCTGTAAATAATGTACAACTGGGAGAGCCACGTGTGAGTGGCAACTCACTTTTTTTTTGCAATTAATTCTCCTAGAAAATACTAAATTAGAGTACTTTCCTACACCAGATGGTGACTGCTGACTCTTTGGACCCTAGAAGTCATGGGAGGGTCCGAGAGAAGCAAGCCTCATCAAAAGGACTCATAAGGGAAGACTCATCCAAAGTCTCATCCAAAGATTCACTCTTTTCCTAAATGGAATCTCTTTTCCTGTAAGTAGGCGGTAAAACAGATGCTCGGGTGTGTGCTCAGCCACAGGCAGTCCCAGCTCTGCATAACTGAAAGAGATAGGCAAAGCCTGCCTCGAGGAATCCCTGCCGTACTTCACTTTGCCTAAATACTGGTACGCTTTTTTAGTTTTCTGCTGTAGCTCCTCACCCATTCCCTGTTCGGCTGCTGTATTGCACCTGAATAAACAACGGGAGAGAAGGGAAGGGTGAAGGGGCAGCGCTCTAATTGCTCTTAATGGCCATATGTTTAGGCAATGTTTGTCTAGTACTCTGAAGACGTGAGTGTTATATTAACACTCAGTGAGTACTGATTCAAGTCTCTGAAAATGCTTTATGTTTACTCACAGTGCAGAAACTCCACTGATGTCGCTGCAGATTGTGAGCCTGGTTCACACACTCACTTACTGCACAGCGTCTGCAGTCCATACACACAATTCTCACTGAAACCAGTGGAACTTCTGCCCACAGAATGAATGCGAGATGGTGTTGGGCTATATCGCTTCTTAGAAGACATGCATAGCTATTCAGGTCTGAGTTACAGCTGTACAAAGAAAAGTAAAACAGTAACCGTACCAGGGAGTTTCATGTCACTGTCCTTGGATCATTTCCAGACCAGATAAGCTGAACATTAAAGCGCAAAGATGTGTTTGGATGTGGGGAGTTCCCCTTGTGTCAGGCTAGAGAATTCAGCCTTAGCTTTCAAATTCAAAGAGTTTTTGCTTTCAGCATCACTACCAGGAACAGTTGTCGTGACTCAAATTACAGCTTCATTTACGGCTTTGGAGACCTCCTTGCTTTCAGGAGGTATCCCTCACAATATCCAAGGGACCTTGGCGGTGCCAGTGCCTTTGCAGAAGTGAAACAAATCAGAACTAAGCAAGTAGTTCTCAAAACAAGCAGCTGGATTTAGTGCTCTGATATGTGGCTGCACATAGTACAAAGAGGAAAAGCAGTAGAGAAGCTCCCCTGACACTTTGTTTCACAAAAACTTGGCCAAAAACTGTAGAAGGGAACTGTCATTTTTACACAGCCACTTTCAGACTAGAATTTGACCTCAAATTGCCATCACACCACCCCAAAGACTCAACTTACCGTGAGATCGTGCCTGATAGCGAAGTTTTCTGGTTTGATGTCACACAGGTGAAGTCGGTGAGAGAAATCATTATCAAAATGCTGCACCATGTCCAGAAAACTGAGTGCAATGTCAATGATGGCTCTCACCCTGCTTCTGTGGCCAGCAAGAGAGGGACTGACCATGTTTTCCAAAGGAAAAAGAGTTTTGTGCCAGGCATGTCCAGCTGTGAGATACTCCACAGCATAAAAGTGTCCACAAGAGCCAATAATTCGTAGCACGTGTTTGCTGAAGTCCTGCAGCAAACTGAAGTAGATATATTCTTCCTGCTGGAGCAAGGACCACATGCTGGCCACCTGTGCTTTCCAACGTGGTCCCTTCTTCCTTGTCCACAGGGGCCCCATGGTATTGTTAGACAGTTCTAGCCCCAGGACATTTTTGACCTCCAAGGCTACCATCAACAGAAGCTCTGTTTCAGGAATATCTTGTGTTTCCACCTCCTCTAGCATACTGAGATGCTGGTAGCTGGAGAAGATTTCCTTTTTGGATTTCAGGATGATGGGCTGGCCTCTCCATTCAGCCTGGATGACTTTCTTACCTCTGTCATAGTAAAGGCAGTGTTTGTACACCAGCTTCTGTGCCACACAGAGGTCTTCACAGAGGTCACCAGTCAGAGCTCCACTGCTGTAGTCAAGACACTGGAGTGAAAGAGCAGAATATTCATGGCAGGACCTTACACCCATGGACCACTTAGGAGAAAGGCAAAGAATCAGCAATAGTCCTAACCTCGAGAGTCTCGCAGCAGTGGTTGTACCACAAGCACACACCTTCTACAACTGTTGGGTTATCCAACGGTGTTTCAGAAGTCTCTAGAGACCTTTTACTGGGAGAATCTTGTTTCAAAGTGGGGATTCTTGGGATGGTAAAGGACAGGCTTTTTTGGGGCAAGGAAATGGACTAGGTGACTTGTTACTCTTAAGTTCTTGCCACATATGAATTTAGTGAGACAAGCTTTAAACACACTGGGCTGTGCTATGTGAGATTCTGGGCTGCAACCTTTAAGGCATAGGAGATAACTTCCAGCATAATTTAGGAGTTCTCTGGAAGGTTCAGCACAGCGTAATTGAGACACCCCCACTTAAATGACAGGAAAATCCATGGGTAGCTGGATTGCTAGGACCTTCCACAGCCCGGCGTGTTTCAGCCTCGCACTCAATATGCCCTGCATGAAGCTGCAAGAACCTCCTTCTGCACCACCAGGAAACACAGAGGTTGCACTCAATGCCTCTTGGACCAAGATCTTTCAGAGTTTTTAAATATGAAAATACTGTAGGACAAAATGACTTTTCCAGTTTTTATATGTAATTATCAGGAGTGACATTTTAATATGAATTGCTTAAATACTTATTTTTTTTATATTGGAAAAAAATCAGCCCATGGAAACATGGGAACTGCTGCTTGATAGTTCAGTGGTCACTGCAAATTCATACAAGAACTGCAAGGTTCTTCCTTCAACCCATAATTGTTTCCATACCATCATTTCCAAAAGTGTAGGCAGTCGGTATATTCCTGTGGGCATTCAGAAGTGCAGCTGCAGGGACTGCTTTGGGCGAATCAGTAGAGGGGATGATCAGAGGTCTCTGGTGAAAGGGGAATAGACCGTGGTGCTGTAGAAAGCCAAACATCTGGGAGGCGGCTTGACAGTGTCAGCCTTCTTCATTGCTTTCTGGCATTTGAACCTTCTTTTAAACAAGTTGGCGGCTCCCCCTGCACGTGGAGTACTTGCGATGACTGCCTGACCCCCAACTCATTTGTGACTTGCTGTTACATACACAAGAAACATGATCCTAAAATTCAAGTGATGTATTTTCTTAGGACAGTCTCTGAGGTGTGCACCAGAGGAATACATTCTGGATGCCAGGCAACATTCAGAGTCCAACCTTAAACAACACACTGGGGAATGGGTGGAGGATTAAGTCCAAAATCCAGGAACAGTGATAAATTGACTAAAATAGCTCACTGAGGGCAGTTCAGACAGGCCTAAAATTTATTTATACTCTGATGTTCTCACAGCCCAAATGAGAACATTCAATGCCAGCAAGGAGAGCCAGGTAGACAAACTTTGGCATGAATGTCCTGACCCTGAGTCCACGGGGGTGTGCATGGGTGAAACACATGCATCTGCCTCCACAGCCACCGCAGGGGATGGTCAGGCACGCTCACTGGGCTGTCCGCAGACTTCAGACCACGCAGATGGATGTTCTTGCTTTTGAAAATCTACTCCTGTGAATGTCATGCAAATTTATTTTCCCTCTTTAAGTAGGAAATGTAATTTTCCCAACAGAAGTGGCGTGGCAGTTCTTACCATCTGGAACTCTAAGGAATTTTAGAAAGAAGATTACAAACAGAAGGAATTTTGGGGGTTTTCTTTGGAGTGTAAGTATAATCACATTTAAAATCATTGCTCTCCTATTGAGAAGACCACAACCTGACTCTTCTTCTGCCACAGTAAAAGAATATAGGAGTTAGTCCTGTAATTGGGTCCACATGGGTGAACACTTCCCCCTGTGGACAATTTCACGGTGGTCCATCAAGTTCACTCTTAGAAGGTCCATATGCATGGAGCCCTTGCATCTAGAACACACGCCCAGAAGACCTGCAGTCAAACATGCACACATGCAGCTTATTTTCTTGTGTTGCCATCACGTCATTCTTAATGGCATTAAGGAGAAAAAGTAGTTGTGGAAAAAGTCTCACATTTCCCAGACATAGGATATGAGTCATTTTTGAACCTGGCCGCTCTTTAGGACTTGTCTGCTGTTCCATTTGAACCCATAAATCTTTGTTTGGTAACCTAGTATCTGACAAAGTCTCTGAATTAGATTCTACTTAGACTGAACTTGCACAATGTTTTGCAAACGAGGATCTGTGAAAGAGGACTTGACCAAGGAGAGCTCTACTCACAGAACGCAGCGAGTTGTGAGTCACCCCATGGCTTTAAAAATCTCCTCAGTTTCCTGTCATTATAACCTAGAAGGTCAGCAAAAACTGACTGCACCTTCACATCCTCAGTAACTCATGTTATTCCAACTTCTGGTGGCTTATGTTTTGCCATAAGCATAATACACTGAGCAAGCTTAGCTCCCAGCCTTCCCACTGTAATGCTTATTTTTTCAGCCCTCAGATGACTTTTGTGGCTTTATTCCCTCCGCGTTTTCTTCTTTCCAATTTTCCCTCCACTAACCTTAGTTAGAAGTGCAGACAGAGCTGAATGCTGTTGTCCAGTGCCGCAAAGGCAGCCAGCGGCCCTTCCCTAATTCTCCTTTTTGAAGACATTATCATCCTTTTAGGCACAGATTGCACTGGTAGTTCATGTTGAAACAATTATTCAACCCCTATGTCGAAGAAGAGCTTGTACTCTTGTGCTCCCCGGTGCACTAGCTTGCATTTTACTGCATTAAAATACATTTTGGGGAACTGAAAACATTTGACCAGGTGATTCAGATTACCCTGCAATGAAAAGATGGCCTCTTTATTATTTACCAACCCAGGAACTTTTGCACTAACTGCAAACTTTACCATACAAGATTTTATATCATCACGATGACTGCTGATCAAAAGAATAAGTGATTCCCCAAAGAAAACTTCCAGAAATGGTCCTCCACACTGCCATCCCTGTCTTAATGACTGCATTTTGAGATCTGTTGATGAGACAGTTTTAAATCTACCTAATGAGTGCCCTTTGAATGCCATTAAAGGAGCATTTTTTAAACAAAAATATGAAAGTGATACTAAGCCAAAAGCCTTATAGAAAAGCAGCTCTACTGCACAAAAATGCAAACACAACCATGGTTTGGACACATTCATCTGTTTCTGTTTAAAACTGGCTACATAATTTTTAATATCCTTCGTACACTTACCGAGATAAGTTTAAGAAGCTGGGTTTAAATTCATGTAAAAGTTTAAATTAATGTAAACCCCACTAAGGATTTATATAAAGTTAAATAACTTACTGTACCACCATCACTTTTGTGTAGATCAGGCCTGAGACTGAGTCTTGCCTTGTTATTGAGTACTTCTCCTGTATGAATGCAATATTGAGCAAGGTTTTGGAAGGCACCAAGCCTATTTAATTTCTCCAGAGAAAACGGAAATCGATCGCTATGATTTCATGTGTTCAGTGTACATGAAGATGAGACTGCTGTTAGGAAAGAGTAAGTGATTTTTTGGAGAGTTAAAGTTGGTCTATGCAGCCTTCAGCCTTCCCAGTGCAGTACACATCTGCACAGATGTACATTTTACTCAGAAGAAGGAAATAAACTTTCAAAAATAACACTTGCAAGGGTATACAACCATGCAGTTTTCACCCACTTGCTTAAAATAGCTCATCTTATCTCCTACTGAAAATGTGACAGATGACTAGTAAAATAGTTTTCTTGGAAGTCAAATTTTGCTTAATAAAAGGTATGAGACTCAAGCTATCAGATTGTTTCATAGATCAATTGCACTTTCTATAGCTGCAAAACTCATGCCGTGCTTTAGAAGATGTATAAAGACTTATCTCAGGGCAGATGAAGATGAGCTCATTTTCTAATCGTTCCACTGGAAGGATGATTCCTTTCTAACATCACCTGGGAAAACTGCCACTTACAAACCTTAACGATACTACTGAAGACTCAACTATGGAAACAGATGAGCATTTCAATCTCAGCTACTCTTCCTCTGGAAGCAGGGTGTGAAACTGAGCTACCACACTGTGACAAAGACAACTTTCCAAGCTTGTGCCTGAAATGTGATCCCTGCCTGGGCTTTTGAAGTCACGCCTAATGCTCTCCAAACTGAAGAAGAGCAACAAGTCTCTGTTCCATCCGTTTACTGGCGAGTGTGATGGCAAGGGCCTGGACCTCCCCGAGCTTGGTGGCTCCCTTGCAGCTCCACGCCTCTGTGCTCTTCCCAGCCACGTCAGGAGTGGGCAGGATTCACCCCTTCAGCTGCAATCCGGAGCTCAGCTGTGCTTCAAGCTGAGGTAAAGAAACTGAATCTCACTGCCATTAAAAACACGGTCTCAGGACTGGTGCCCATAGCTCCTCTTCCTTTATTATACAGAATCCAGGGAAAATTTATGATCAGATTTTGCTTGCTGCAGTGACAGATTATTTAATTTCTGTTAGGATTCTCCCTCCTTTTCCACCTAATCATTGGCACTACAAGTACCTTAATTAACACATGAAATTAAACCCAAGTCATTAAGCCACGCTGCTCCTCTTTTCCAAGTGCTTCCGACACAATCCTAAATCTGCTTTTTTTTAAATATTTTTTTAAGGGAGATTTTAATGAACAGTCACAAATTCTTTCTTGACTTTTGAATAACTACATCTTAAATGCCACGACGTAAAGGAAGTGTCACAAGGCTGTGCGGCATTGCCGAAAGACGACTTTTGTACAAACACCTTTTTGGATACATTAAAAAAACCCAAACAAACAAACAAACAAACAAAACCCCCAACTAAACAACAAAAAAAACCAAACCAAAACGCGGAGGGAGGTTTCCTCCCGCTTCGCAGCGTGCGGGATGCCGGGCTGCCCTTCTCCCGAAGCGCCTGGGAAGCGCCGCCTGCACCTGCCCTGGCCCCGGCAAGGGAG